CAGCTGGTGGCCCTGAACATGATACCCAAAGCTCCAAGGGCAAACTGAGGTGATTCCTCCCGGTTGGAAGGTTTGTTTATTTTTGCCTACAGTGCAGGGCTGGGAAGTTTTGGCTGGGATTCTGGAGATAAGCATCAAGGAGCTGCTGGAAACCAGGGAAAATTCAGCTTTTCCTGCTGGTTTGAGTCTCTCCTTAGTAGGTAGGACCTGTCCCACAAATGTTTGTGCCGTTTTTTGTGAGATTCTCCCCCAAATTTGAGGAGAAGAATAATTCCTTGATGGTGTGGGAAGAGGGATGGAAAGCTTTGATCCTTCCTGAGCCTCTAAAAGGAAGGATGAATTGTTGGAAAGGGTTAAAGTGTTGCAGAGATCCTATGGAAAGGGTCTGGGCTTGGGGACAGGTGGAGGGAGGTGCTGGAAACACAATCCTGGAGGAGGAGGAGGAGGAGGAGGAGGAGATCAGTGGATGCCCAGGATGGATTCTATGGGGGAGGAGAAGGAATGGTGAGATGGGAGGGAAGGAGGGAGGGAAGGTGGTGATGCCAGAAGGGACAAATGGGGCAGCCAAGAGTTGGGAAGGAGCAGGGGCCGGAGAAACAACGGGATGTCCGAAGCAGCCAGAGCCAGCGCCGGATTCCTGCGCCGGAGAACGGTGGAGAGGTTACCACGGACCACATCCTGCTGGGATCCCACAGCCTCCAGGATCACCTCCCACCTGCCCCACTCCAGTTCCCTCCCCACACAAAACTTTGGGAGATTTGGGAGAACTTCCCTTTCCTACACTTCCACTCCGAGGTACGAGGGGACGCGGGAAGGGCATGGAATGTGCTTGTCCATCTGTCTGGAGATTTGTCCTTTCCTTCCCTATTCCCACCTTGTTTTCCTCACTGGGTTGCCCATGGCTCGTGTCACTCCTTCCCTTGGCATCCTTGGGGTGGGGTATGGATTTCTCTCCAGCTCATCCTGTTCCCTGCAGAAATGTGATGGAAATTGTATCCATGGCAGAGGGAAAACAGGAAGGTTTGGGGTTGTTTCCACCTCAAGAGAAGTGGAAGGCAGAGGAGAAGCAATTCCCTTTCCGTGGGACGAGACTGGGTAGATAAACAGGCACTGAGTTAGGAATGTTCTGCAGGATAATCCCAGGATGAGATTTTCCTCATCAGCTCCTCCAGCAGAGCCTCTGGGGTTGGGATTTATCTCCAGATGTTCCCAAGGGAAAGATGTGCTCTGAAACCAGAAATCATGGACGACTTGACCCAAAATTCCAAGTCCCTGCTAGGAAAAGACTAATCACTTTCCAGAGGATCCCGCGTTTCACCTTTGGATGGCCACGTGGCCCTCCAGGAACTGAGCTGACTGTCACTCACTCCTCTCTCTGCTCCCTGTGAGGAGTTTGGTGAGGTCTTAGGTGGAGATCACCATGCTACAAATCACCCCACGCCCAGGAAAAGGTAGATGACAATATCTGTCACTCCTAATTCGTGGACAGCCTCCAGAACTTCACCCAACGTTCCTGGAGGACCAAATCTCTTTAATTTTGACATGTAGGACCTCAATCTTTAGGGATTTGGGTCAGCTCAGCCCTCAAGATCTCGATATAGACTTTTCATCCTCACGTACTCCCTTTCTCCCCTTTGCTTTTTATGGCTTCTCTTGAGCCCTGGAGCTCAACCAGGTCATCTGAGATTCCCAGCTGAAGCTTCAGAGGCCAAAATGGATCTTTAACGAGGGCTCAGATGATTCCTTGGACAAGAGCCTGGAGCAGCTGCTCCACGCAAACCTCAGGGCTCAGATCTTGCGTTCGGCCAAAAAAAGCAATGACACCGGAGCAGGTGGTCGTATCCCAAACCCTTTCCCTCTTCCCACCTTCCCTGCTGGGAGAAAAGAGCTGTGGAGCTGAGGATCCGTGGGGGGAGCTAGAGGACAGGGATATGTCCCTGGGTGTTGTCCCCTCCAAGTGCCTCAAGGGTTTGAGGGACTCCGAGGCCGCAGGAGTTGACTCCAGGCAGTTCCTGGAAGAGGAACGCCCACACAGGGCTTGGTGCCAAACATTCCTGGTCCAAGTCCAGCCCTGGTGAACTCAGTCCCTGCCCACAGGAGAGAAGCCATGGCTGCTGTGTTCCTGCCTGGAAACCTTCAGGATGAAGCCACCTGCTCCGTCTGCCTGGAATTCTTCAAGGACCCTGTGTCCATCGAGTGTGGCCACAACTTCTGCCGCTCCTGCATCGTGAAGAGCTGGAAAGACTTGGAGATGGATTTCCCCTGCCCACAATGCAGGGAAGTTTTCCAACAGAAGAGCTTCCGACCCAACCGGCAGTTGGCAAACATGTCGGAGATCATCAGCCAGTTCACCCAACGCGGGGCCAAAGGGGTTGAGGAGGACCAGGATGGACTTTGTGCCAAGCACCGTGAAGCTCTCAAGCTCTACTGCAAGGACGACCGGAGAACCATCTGCGTGGTGTGTGACAGGTCCCGCGAGCACCGACCCCACGCCGTGGTGCCTGTGGATGAAGCTTCTGAGGAGTACAAGGTCTGTCTGTCTGTCTGTCTTGAGGGACATCCCATGGGGCTTCTCAGCTGTGTTTGTCCTCCCTCGAGTCCTTGCGGTGTCGCTTCGCTTTGCCGCGCTCAGCTTCACCCTCCACCACCTTCCAACCACTTGCTGGTGCTTTCTAGCTCTCCAAGAACCTGGAAAACCATCTCCTCTCCAGGTATTCAAATTCTTCTCCTTCATTCCCATCATCTCTGCCCTCAGAGAAGAGTGTGGGATGAAGGAGAAGGCAACAAGGTTGTGTGTCCCCCCTAACATAGGCTCCAAGTCTACCTCCTCCTCGGGAGGAGAACAGCTGATGGAGCCTGAGTCTATTTTGGGGGTTGGGCAAGTTGCCAGAGATGTTCCGAGTTGATTAAACCTGGGCTGAACTCTTCCTTGTGCCAAGAGTCGATGGGAACAGGGAACGTCCCTCCCTGGAGCTCCTTCCTCTACCTTCCTTGCACACATCGAGACTCGCTGTGGTCCTTGAGGGTTGTCCGTGTGGGTTTTCCCTCCCGTCCCACTCGTCGTTGCCGGGAGCAAACTGTGCAGAACACAGAACCAGAAATGTTTTCTTCCAGGAGAAAATCCAGGGCCGCTTGGATTTCCTGAAGAAGGAGAGGCAAGAGCTGCTGGAGTTCAAAGTGAACGATGATAAGAAGACCCAGGAGCTCCTGGTGTGTCCTTCACCGCAGTGATTTTGGGGTGGTGGGAGGTGTGGAGGGGGTGAGGACCCACCAAGTGTCCCATCTTCTCCTCACCACTGCTCAGACAGTGTCCAAACCGGGTTGACGCGTTCCCAGAGCTCTGGGGTCAGGTATGGTGCGGAAAGGAGAGTGTGAAGGTTCATTCTGAGGGTCAGGTGGGACCTGTTGGGTCTATGTCCAAGGGAAGTGTGGAGTGAAGCCACCAAAACATGGTCCCCGTGCCAAAGGGAGGAATTTCCTGGAGCAAAATGTTCCCATTTGGCCCTGGGCTTTGTCTCAGGTGATGTGTCGGCGAGGACAACCCAACGGGAACCAGGAGGTTGGTAGAGCTGAGGAACAGGATGAGGCAGGGACTCGGCTCTTCCATCCCACCTCTTCCCAAGGTCTTTGTCCAGCAATGCCACAGGTCGTATCTCCTCACCTGAAGGTCCCCAGTCCCACCAACAAGCAGCAACCACGACACTGGCAGGTCCTCCTAACTCACCAGGTGGTTCTTCTCCACCCCAAACCTTTGACACCAGCTGAACCTTCTTTTTTTCTGCCTTTCACCCCCAGAAAATCATCGAGACCGAGCGGCAGAAGCTTCTCTCGGAGTTCGAGCGGCTACGGCAGTTCCTCCACGACCAGGAGAACATCCTGCTGGGGCAGCTGGAAAAGATGGAGAAGAACATTGCCAAGAGGCAGAACGACAACATCACCGACCTCTCCAAGGAGATCACGCTCCTCAACAAACTCATCACTGAGCTGGAGGAGAAAATCCAGCAGCCCATGCTGGAGTTCCTCAAGGTGAGACGGTTGCTTAGGGCCGAGGTGTGACCTTCTTCCTCCCCATGGATCTTGTAGAGGTGTTTGGAGGGGTAAAAGTCCTTTTTTCCCTCTGTCTTTGATGAGCAGACAGTGCTTGGCAGTGTCTGAGTGTTCTGAGCTCTGCAGTACCACCCAAAACACTCTCTGGCTGAGGAACATCCTAGAACAGAGGTGTCTTCTTCATCTTTCATGGCCTCTGATGACTTTTTTTCCCCTCTAAGCTCATCTGGACCTTTCTAGCACCCCAAAACTTGGTGTCAAGGTGTACAAGTTTGGGTCAGACCTTGCCCAAAGAGTTACCACCGTGGTCCTGTCTGAATCCTTAACCCAAGCAAAGCTCTTTTTGCACACCCAGGTCTAGGTGGGGGCAGGTTTGGGCCATGCAGGTCATAGGTGTCCTGTTCCTCCAGCCTGGAGGTGTCGGTGAGGACTTGGAATGGAGCTGAGTGTGGAAGAACACGGAGTTGGGCTCAGGGTCGGGTTCCTTGCCAGATCCCACAGCACAGTCCTTGGCTGCAGGAGGTTTGTGGTGCCACGAGAGTAGAGCTGAGTTTGCAAGTCAACTGGAACCATCAACCAAGCTGGAAAGTAGGAGGGAGGAGGAACAAACAGATGGAGCCCAGGGATTGACTGCAGGGCATGGAGAACTCCTAGAGTCACCTCAGCTCTCCTTCAGCTCAGGAAAACAAGCCCAGGGTGGCCCAATAGAGGGTTAAATTCCCTCCCAGGAATTTGTTCCCAGCACAGTCAATATTTGCCAACAGTTTCAGGACTTGGCCAGGGGTGGAAATGCCTCCCACGTGGTCTTTGTGTGGCGTCACCATCAAAACAAGCTGTAACAATAGGTGAGGTTTCATCACCCACCAGGTTGGGACCTCCTGGGTCCTTTCCTCACCCCTTTGGGTGGCTCTGACCCACATCTCTGTGCTCTCCACGGTGTGTGATCTTCTTTAGACCCTTTGAAAGGCACCAGGAAGGACAAACAGTGCCCCAGGACGGAGCTGAGCGTGACCATCCAGCTCAGGGGTTTGGTTGTGACTTGAAGGTGTTCCAACCTTGACTTCCCTTCCTAATCCATCCTGCCTGAAGGCAAAGCATTCCCACTGTTGGCACATCCATGTCAGGGAGGGGAGAGGAAGCTCAGAGTCCTCTCGGTAGGGATCAGTTGGGAGTTTAGCTGCTGAGTGGGATTTGGTGGCAGTGTGACCTGGCTGAGCTGAAAGGAAACAACTGAGGGGTGGCTGGAACCAGCAGGGATGAACCTCCTGGTTGGGTTTGAGGAATGGGAATTGCTTCCAAGTCAAGGTGGGACAGAATTGATTTCACTTGGTGTCTCCTTTTCCTTTGCAGGATGTGATGAGCATCATAAGCAGGTACGGAATACTCCGAGCTCCAATCCCTTCACACCCTCCCCCACCTCCTGTGGAAGGTCAGTGCCCACGTTCCACATTCCAGAGGGAAGCAGCAGGGCAGAGGGAATTCACCTCCTACTCACCACAAGTTCTGGATCTCTTCCAACTTCTTGGGAATTTGATTGTCACAAGGTTTTTTGTGCCCTAACCAGGCAATTTCTCCCAAGGTCAAATGAGACCAGAAAGCCACCAATTTTTCATCCAGTGCTTTAGTTCAGTCACCACTGAGCTCCAAAAATGACCTTGGAGCTGCAGCAGGAGCACCTGGATGGGAGTTCACCACCACCTTGGGGAAGACCTCAAAGTCGGTGCCCAAATCCCATGGTCTTCTACCTAGTGGCAGCAAAATCCCAGTGGGATCCCCACGAGGTGATGCTGAGACAGAGGGTGGGAGAGTTGTGCACCGCGAGCCGCAAACGAGGAAGAGTTGGGGGAACGAGTTTTTCTCACGGTTTGTACCTTCTCCTTCGCAGAAGTGATGATGTGAAGTGCCAGAAACCTGTGCCTGTCTGCACGGACATGAAAATGCATGTCTGCAACTTCTCCCTCAAGACTGTCATCCTGGAGAAAGTCCTCAAGAAGTTCAGAGGTGGGTGGAGATGACACCAGGACGTCTAAAATAGTCCTTGACCTTTGGTAACTCTGAGAGGAGAGTTGGGAGTGCTGGAGGAGCTTCATGGAGAGAACCTTGGCACCTTCTTGGTCACTGGGACAAAAATAGGAGTAGAAATGACACTGGGAAGGATTTCTGGAGATCCTTCTGGAGATCCTCCTTTTCTCCTGCCGGAGATGAGCGTGAGCAGCAGGAGACTCCCCTTGCCAAGCTGTGCGTGGGGTTGTTTTTGAGAGGGGGAAAACCAGAGGCGAAGGAGTTCGGGTGTAATAAACCCCTTCCTTTTGCAGATCTCGAAGGGTTTGGGGTCGGGAGAGCCAAACCTTGGGCTTGCAGCGATGCTGGAAAGCCACAAGATGACGCTGAAAGACCAGGAAAAGCAGAGAGCAGCAGGAGACTCCCCTTGCCAAGCTGTGCGTGGGGTTGTTTTTGAGAGGGGGAAAACCAGAGGCGAAGGAGTTCGGGTGTAATAAACCCCTTCCTTTTGCAGATCTCGAAGGGTTTGGGGTCGGGAGAGCCAAACCTTGGGCTTGCAGCGATGCTGGAAAGCCACAAGATGACGCTGAAAGACCAGGAAAAGCAGAAATGTTGGGAAAAAAAAAAAAAAACTGTGAAAAAAAAAAAAAAAAAAAAAAAAAAAAAAAAAAAAAAAAGAGACTGTTTAGAAGGGGGAAATCCTTAAAGGCAAATTACACCTCCCAGGGCGAGAATTGGCTTCGACGTTTGTGCTGAGGAGAACAAGATGTGGTAGAGAAGGAGAAAAAGGATGGAATAAATCTGCGTTTTCGTCGTGCCCGGGAGGTTTTTAAGGAGAAACTGGATGTGTTTCCGAGGGGTTTTTCCCTGTCTTGTCCTCATTGCACTGGTGGGAGCTGAAGCTTCTCCATCCTCAGCTCTTGACTCTTCCTCTTGGCCAAAGAGATGTTTGGGCCATGGGGGTCACAGTCTCGTGCAGGAGGTTTTGGAGGTCCCTCTAGCTCTGTAGGTGTCACCATTGACCACTGTTTCTCCTTTCCAGAGCATCTACAAGACGAACTGGGAAGAGGTGAAAAAGGTAAAAAAAGATGTTTTGGGTTTAACCTCTGGAGCAAAGACTTGAAATTGTGGTTGTACTTTGCAAAGCCAAAGAGAAAAGGGGATGAAAAAGGAGAGGAACAAAGGAAAAAAAAAAAAAAACAACAAAACAAACACTCTAGATGACTTTTTTTCTACCTTCATTTCTTCTCTCTCAATGATTTCCAGATCCAGCCTGCTCAGTTCCAGAGCCCCATGCCGATTTTTGTAGCTGACGTCGAGGATCTGAGAGCTCAGCCAGGTCCTGAACCCCAAAAAAAGAGATTGAGACCCTTCCAAACCCAAAACTTAGTCTACCAGATCTGCTCTACTGGGCTCTTCTTTCCACCAGGGATTGGGATGGAGGGTGTGAGCTCCATCACCTTCTCCAGTTCGAAGTCAAATTCCAGGAGAAATTAACTCCTTTACCAAGCTGATTAGAACTTTAACTCCTTTAGTTAAGTTCACAGGAGAGGACATGGAATTGATGGGCAAACCCAACCTAGATTGAGTCATAGAATCATGGAATCAACCAGGCTGGAAAAGACCTCCAAGACTTGTCAGACCTAAACCTGAGGAGCACAAAGACCTTTCTGGTGCATCTCCTAAGGTCTCACCTTACACTCCCCCAAAGGGTCTCCTTGATTGGTGGCCAACTTTGCTGACTACAACCACAATTTGAGGTCTCCAACGCACTCGGCGCTTCCTTTGAGCCACGAGTTGGGATGGGAAAAAAGCTCTTGGTCCTGAACTCGGTTGCTCCTCCAGGTGTGATCTCAGAGGGGTTGGAGATGCCCTTAGGTCATGGCATTCCGTGAGGATTGGGGGTGTCCTGAGGGTGTTTGGGGACAGATGGTCAGTGATTCATGATGGGCAGAGACCTCGTTGAGGGGTTGGACCTCGGAGGAGGCAGAAACAAAGAGGAAAAATCCCAATTTCTGTGGGGAAACGTTGGTCCTTATCTGCTGTGGTTTTCTCGGCTCCTGAGGTCCTCGTGGTGTCGGGGAGGACCTTGAGGGTGTCCTCATCTCTTAGCAGCCACAGCTGGGTCAGTGTGGGAGGACAGAGGAGTCCCCACCCTGGGAAGTTTGGGAAGTGATTGTTGAGGTTGGGATGGAGTCAGTGAGGTTGGGAAGGAGTTGTTGAGGTTTAGGGGTGATTATTGAGCTTGGGATGAGGTTCTTGGGTTTAGGAAGTATTTCCCAACTGCTCAAACCACCCCAACTGTCAAACCCCTCATGGCCTTCCCATCCCTGTCACTGCTGTCACCCACAGAGGACCTGACCTTGGACCCCGACTCGGCCAACCACCTCCTGATCCTGTCCGCAGACCTCAAGAGCGTCAGGATGGGCTGTAGGAAGCAGGAACTGCCCGACAACCCCAAGCGCTTCGACACCAACTCGCGGGTCTTGGCCACCACGGGCTTCAAGTCGGGGAGACACTACTGGGAGGTGGAGGTGGGACCTTCTGACGGTTGGGCCTTCGGCGTGGCCAAGGAGTCCATCCGGAGGAAGGGCCTGACGCAGTTCTCACCCGAGGAAGGGATCTGGGCCGTGCAGCAGAACGGGGGCAGGTACTGGGCCGTCACCTCGCCCCAGCGCACGCCCCTGAGCCTCAGCCAGAAGCTCAGTAGGGTCAGGGTCTACCTGGATTATGAAGGAGAAGAAGTTTCCTTCTACAACGCCGACAACATGCAGCACATCTTCACCTTCAACGTTGCCTTCCAGGAGAAGGTGTTTCCCCTCTTTTCTGTCTGTTCCACTGTCACCTACATCAAACTGTGCCCCTGAGGTATCTCGTGGGCGTCGGCGAGGTCTTCGCCCGGATCGCGTCGGGACGGCCTCGAGAGACTCACGGAGCCTGGTTAGGTGGGATAGAGGGAGGTCGAGCTGAGGGATGGGCAACCAGGTGGGCAGGGAAGACACCCCAAAGAGGCAGCTGAAAGTCTCAAGAGATCCTCAGCAAACCCCAGAAATCACTGTCTTCAAGGTTGTGGTGACCATGTCAAACCCATCCCTGGACCAGCTCCTCTGATGGATGAGAAGGAACCTACAGGAGTAGGTTTGTGGCTCCAGGTGTGACCACAGACAGGTGTTTCCTCGTGTGGGTTTAAGGATCGGTGGGAAACTTTGGAGCAGTTTCTCCATCCCCTCTGGAAGTGTCAGGGAACTTGAAAGTGAAATGTTTGGTGGGTGAGTGACCTGTGGGAAAGGTGGAGAGAATGACCCTGAGGACACTCTGGTTGTCCATCCAAGGCAAAGCTTCTCTGTGTGATCAAGGGAAACCCAATGAGAAGGTTCCTCATTCCTTATCCCACCTGGAGCTCCTAAATCCTGGGATAATCATCCCCCAAAGGCTGTTTTTGTGATGTCTGAGCTGTCCCAGGTGACCCAAACCACATGACCTTCATCTGACCCATCTAGGCTGGAAGAAACTCTGTGGGCTTTGGCTGCTCTCCCTATCTGCTCTGTTCTCCTGTTCTCCAACCTTGGCTCCTCTGGAAAAGGCTAAAAGGTGCTGGTTTGGGTTCTCCATGATGTTTGTCCTGCTGGACCTGAGCAAGATCCACATTTCCCACTTTGGTGCTGCCCTTCCTGAGGTTTCTCTGTGGAGACATTCTCAGCTCAACCCGTTTTGGTCCTCCTGCTTTGCCCTCAGCAATGTAGATTTTCTGGGGGCTGAATTTCCTATTTCCTCTGGTTCTCTCAGCAAAAATCACCTCTTTATCCCCATTCCTGGTGTCTTTTTTTCCCTGGAAACCTTCAGTCTCTTCCCAGGAGATGGTGCCAAACTCCTATTTCCTTCATCCTCTCTTGTCTTGCCAAAACTAAGCAGCTTTAAAACCTGCTCAGCTGCAGCAAATCTTTCCAGAGTGAGGCCATGGAAAGGTGAGTAAAACGCTCAAGTTTGGGAATTCCATCCCTTTCCAATGTGATTCTGCTGTGTCACTGACAGAAACGAATAAAAACCCCTGGAATGAGGAAGGTATTTCCAGGGACAGAGAGATCCTGATGTCTTGACTTGGTCTTTACCTCGTGTTTCGTTGGGTCTGGAATCTCCCAGATCATTCCTAGTGGGAAATAAACCACGAAGGGCTCAGTGGGGGGAGGAAGGTGTGGACACAATGGGAACCTCAAGTTTGGGGGTCGTGGTGGACTTTGCTCTGCTCCTGCTGATGCTCCCAGTCCTCGTGTCCAGCTGGTTTGGAGGGGCCAGGAGTGAGTTCTGGGGTGTCGGGGTGAGTTTTGGGGGATGTC